TATTGGGTACCAGTTGTGCTTTCTGTTTTACAATATCCCAAATACTGCCTTCCTGCCCTTCCCACATAGCAGGCAATTCAGAAGGCTACTCTAATTTCCCTTTCCTTGTCATTTACCCTCCTCCTGCCCCACGTAAGGACTCCTCACAACCTGTGCGATGATTGCTTGACCAGTTAGTGTACTGTAAACTTTCTTCTCCTCCCTATGCCTCAAGGAAGCCTCTGCAGCAAATTCTGTCTCGTCTCTACCCTGGTCACAGGAAGGCCTGACACCTCTCAGAAGGCAGCTTTGCAGTATAGAACACAACTTTCAGCTGTCATATACTATTCTGCATGTCCATAAATATATTTCCTATACAATTTCCTAACTTCTCTCCCAACCACCTTGCACATTCCTGCTACGGAGCAAAAGAGACACATTGTGGGAATAGAAATGATCTCCTCCTCTAATCACAAATCATGTGGTGCTGGCATGTTGGTGAGCCCCCTCACCCCTGCATAAAAGGCCATTTCCCAAAGGGGCAGATACAACTGTGCCCTAGCCGCTCAGAGATGGAAGTCATTTAGTGAAACCCTGTAAAGCCAGCCCACTGTTGCCTGGGGCCCAGTCTGAAGGACTTTTTCCAACTAGACCAAATTTCTTATATCCCCCTCCCAACTCTTAGCTCAAACAGTAGACTGTTAATTTGTCTTACATAATGATACTATATTCATTCTGAAACCAAGCACGGTTCCGTGCCTCTTGGGGACAGGCACTCAATAAATATTGATGGATCACAGTGAGCCTGACATTTGGGAGGAAAAGGCAAAAAAAAAAAAAAAACCCTGTCATTTCATCAAATAATGGCTTCCCAAAGGCTCTCAAAATAACTGGGAGTGTTGAGGCTTCAGTAATGGTTTTCAGATTGCCTTGTGAGATCCTGGGTCCTGTTGGAACTGCTCTAAATTTTCTTAAACATATAATTCAGAAAACACATTATGTGTAATATTTTAAAACTGTAATAAAAATGGAAGAAAACACTTAACAGACACCTAATATGTCACATCCAGAATAGCAATTGAAGACCACCAATTGTTAAGAGCTGTGAGTTGACTCATTTCTGTTTTGAAACCTTGGGAGTAATGCTTCTTCCTGTATGATTTTTTGCAAGCCTTGACTCATTGGTTCAGAATGTCGTGGCTACACTGGATTTTCACAACTTAAATTACTTGGGACCTTGCTAACTTGCTGAGGCTGGCCTTGAACTTGCAGTCTTTCTCCCTCAGCCTCCCAAGCCATGGGGATTACAGGCGTGTGGCACCACGCCCAGCTATGTACCCACTTTCATAAAATTATGCAAGTAAGATAGCTAACTCCTTCTCTATGCAAATCAAGACCTTCTTGCTGTTGTACAATCAATTCAAAATATAGAACTAGAGTCCTGAGACTGGAACTGCCACTTCTACCCATCACCCCCATAACACATTTTTTATAGGCATTAAAACAGCCCTGTTGTTCTCAGAAATTGGCATACATTTGTATCTTATAGCAATGAAATACTGATTTTAATCTCATGTTTTTAACATAATAAGGTATCATCTAAGATTTTGATGAAAAAATGAGTGTCACTTCCACCATGGAGGGAGATTAATGCATGAAGAAATTATCTGCCTCTTGTGGTCTGGATGAATCCTGTTAGAATGAGAGCATGACCTCAAGGATGCCATGGCAGTTGGTGAGCAGAGTCATATAATGCAGCCACTACCCAACTACATGATCCAGCCTTAGCAACTCTACATCTCACCTGTGTTAAGTTAGGTAATCATCTGCCATAATGGAAATCTCCAAGGGCAGATCAGTGTTTTTGTAAAGCACATGCCCTACACCAGCTCTCTGGGTGGGTCTGTTGAAGCAATTTGAGATAGTCACCATGTGTATGATTTTGCTTTCTGGGATTTCAGTTGCTGCAGTCAACATGGTTCAAAAGTTGTTATGTGGAAATTTCAAGAAGTAAACAAGTATTGGGGTGGGGTGGCTGAGACAGGAGGATCACAAATTCGAAGCCAGCCTCAACAAAAGTGAGGTGCTAAGCAACTTAGTGAGACCCTGTCTCTAAATAAAATACAAAATAGGGCTGGGGATGTGGCTCAGTGGTCCAGTACCCCTGAGTTCAATCCCCAGTAACCCCCAACGCCCCCTCCCAATTCTTAAGTTTTAAATTGCATACTGAGTAGTATGGTGAAATTGCCTATCATCCTGCTTCCTCCTGCTCAGTATGTGAATCATCCCTTTTCCAGCATATCCACAATCTATATCCTACACACTAGTCGGTCATTTAGCAGCCATCTCAGTTATCAGATTGTTACAGTACTGCAGTGTTTGTGGTCAGGTAACCCTTATTTTACTTAATGGCCCCAAATATAAGAGCAGTGATGCTGGCAATTTTATTACAGTATATTGTTATAATTGTTCTATTTTATTATTATTAACCTCTGTGCCTAAACTATACCATAGGTATGCACAAGGGAAAGCCCTAGTGTATATATAGGGTTTGGTGCTACCTGCAGTTTCAGGCAACCCCTGGGGAATCTTGAAATATATTCACTGCAGATAAGGGGATCTACTGTACATCAAGGGGGTGATATTTTTTGCAGTGCTGGAGATCAAATCCAGGGCCTCAAACCTTAGGCAAGCACTCTATCACTGAGCTACACTTTACAGTCCTGAAGGGTTTTTTTTTTTTTAATTTTTTGGTGCTGGAGAATTGAACCCAGGGGCACTCAACCACTCAATCCCAAGCCATTTTTGTATTTTATTTAGAGACAGAGTCTCACTAAGGTACTTAGGGTCTTGCTAAGTTGCTGATACTAGTTTTGAACTCACAATCCTCCTGCCTCAGCCTCCATAGACACTGGGATTATAGGTGTATGGCATTGTATAAAGTTATAATTAAGTTTTGGGGATCAGAAGGTAAACTCACTTCTGAACAGTTCTTCTAAGGCTTCCATTTCTTGAAAGATTTCTATCATTAGGCTTGGAGTCTGGAACATTAATAGATCATGCCATGAGACCGCATATATCAAGGAAGGCCTTTTCAAAAATATTTTTTAGTTGTAGATGGACACAGTATCTTTATTTATGTACTTTTATGTGGTGCTGGGGATCGAACCAGTGCCTCACAAGTGCGAGGCAGGTGCTCCACCACTGCGCTACAGCACCAGCCCCCAAGGAAGACCTTTTAATGTAGCAGCTGAAAACAAACAAACGTGCAGGGCTTGCCTCAGTAGCATTCTCCCATTCAGTTTTTCCTCTTGAAGGTGAAAAGCCTTGGCAAACAGATGAGAAGGTATCGGAGTTTAACCAACCTAAACCCACACTTGTCTCAGCTCATGCAGTCGGAGCTGCACAAATTGGGAAGAGCCAGTGGGAATGGGCAGTCATTCACTGGTTCTCCTGGTTGGTAGCTCTGAACTAAGTGTGATTTCCCCACAGCACTTTCTCCGGCTCACGCTGATAGGATCCCATGGATATGACACTATTTTCCACCAACAGAAAGGAATTGCCTCATGCTACATGCTGTGCTTGCCCTCTGAAGCAGTAGAGCTATTTAAAAGGTGTCCAGTGAGGCATAAAATCTAAAGAGAAAATGCAGAAACTCTGGGAAGAATTTAGGTAGGTGAAGTGATTAGTGAAGTTGAAATCTGTCTAGACCATTGAGGGAACCACTAATATTATATCCTCAACATAACCACTAACATACATACATACATACATTATATATATATATATATATATATATATATATTTATATTTATATATATTTATATATTATTTTATATATTTTATATATATTTCTTTTATATATATTTTATGCACACACACACACACACACACACATATATATATATATATATATAAAATGCTGTGACCTCATTATTTAATTCCACCTGAACCTATTAATAGTCTAAATCATTTAAAAAATCTTACGTCCCATTAAACGCAAATGATGAAAATGAATAAACCCTGAGCAGATGGCTGCCTTAATGGAGAACTATTCAAACTCCCAGTAGTCCTCTTGGAGCTGAGATGGCTGATTTTAGCCACCATGATTGAGATAAGCACATGTCATAAAATTGATATGGCACCAGGGGTTTGGGGCAATGTAACAGAAAATTTGTCCTTCATATATTCAACTAGCAACTAACCCTGGAATGTGCACAATGAAAGTGAGACAGCAAGTGATTTAGAAAGAGCCAGAAGTATTTCAACAATGTCCATAGAGAAAGACAGGGCAGCAGCTGCCGGCAGTGGCACCCCAAGAGCTTCCTTTCTGGATGCAGGCTCTTATCTGGCCCTTGCAAGTCAGTAGCACCAATTGTCCTACCACACACTTAGGCATTTCCCTCAAGCTGAAGTTGGAGGTACCAATTCGGAACTTGAAAAGTAACTGGTACTAAGTCTATGTGTGTTGTGCCTAGTGTGTATATGAATGCATGCAGGCTCTGGGTGGCCACAACTTGGACATTTTCAGAGTCTGTCCTGTACTCAAAAAATGACCAAGACTCCCTTAATGGCAGAGGAAAGGGTTCCCACTTCATCGGGTGGTTTTCATGGACAGCACTGCTACTGTCTGCCACCAGCTCACAAAGGGCAAACGCCCAATAACCACTGACTGATTTGGAAGATATCCGATCAGGCTTAAGCACAGCTAAGCTCCCACCGGAATTCAAGTCTTATGCTTGCCTCAGATCTGTGGCCAGGTTAGATTGTCCAAATAAAAGTTAATCTGCATCACCAAGGTAGCATTCAGGACTAGGCAAAAGAATGACATCTACAAATCAGACAGTAGGGAGCAGCTGCAGGCACGTAAGACTTCCCGTGTGCTATTTGGAACTTAATCAATATCAGTTCCTAACTGTATTATTTCAGAGTCTTCAGCTGTTAACCTTTGAGTCAGAAGTATTTATGAGACAGAGATCCTATGATGAGTCAGGTCAAATAAACAAACAACAAATGATAGCTTGGTTTTAACATTTTATTGGGTAAATGATTTTAAAGGTAATAACAATAGTGTCAAAACTACTACAATATCTTTCCACAGCCATACCTTACAGACCCATGTAAACCTTCTCATATATTTCCTTTTGCTCATTTTTTATATTTTAAAGCCATACATTTCATATAAAATGCCCATTTCCAACAGTTTCTTCAAACTATTAAGCAATTAAATGTGGAAGGAAGGAGGACCTAGTTATACTGGAAGGGGTTTCAGGTAATCTGTGATGTCTTACTGTAATCAAAAAACAGGTTACTAAGAAAGAAGGAAAAGAAGAGCTACTCCAGGTAGCTTTTTGCTCATTACAAGTCTCACCATTGCATCACCAAGAACTCTTTATGCTGGTGACCGATTCAAAGTAATTTGGGGGAACATATAAAACACTAAAATAACTTAGAAACTAGATCCAAATATTTCAAAAGTAATCAACTTTGATATACAAAAGCAGTCAGAGGTGGTTACAAAAGTTTATTTTCTCAGTGCGTCTATGTACCAGCGCAGTTACTGGGTCCAGAGCAAAATAAAAAGTTCATTTTCTTCTGAAACAGTAATAAAAAAACAAGGAAAACATATCTTTGTATATAAAGAATCAATGCTGGTCTTAAGAATAATGTAATCAGAAACCCTTAAATTGAGAGGCACACAAAGGGTTTCTGCTTTTAAAAAATAAAAGGAAAGTCACCAGTTTATTTAAATGGAGAAGGTGTTCACACCCCTCAAATAAACTTAATTCAGTTTAACATCACTAGCAAAAATCACTTAGAAACTGTACAAAAATAAAAAAGTTAACACATTTAATCCTGCAAGGTTTTTGTAAGGACTGGAAGGCAGGCTTTTGGAGCAGCATTTGGGCATGGCTGGGGGCTTCTTTGGTTTGATCTAACACACATAAGAGATGGAACCTATTCCAGATGACAGTTTCAAATTTCCTGCACAAGACAAGAAGAGGCCAGTATACAAACTTCCGGTGTGCCGGCATTGGGACTGTATGCACTGGACCGAAAATCTTAAAACTGCTTTAAGTGGGGTGTGGGAAAGAGAGCAAGCCTTGCACTTCCTCCATCAACTTCACCGACCTCTCACAGTAGGGGAGACTAGAGAGGGTAGTAGCACGTTCTTGTGCAGTCAGAAGGCCACTTGAGGGGTGGGGGGACAAGTGTTCTTTTAGAATCTGGTACCTGGCTGACCCTGTTTAAGAACAAGAAAACCCTTCCAGAAGTGGAAGCCTTTTGCTACATACCAAAGTAAAATACATACTATTTTTCCAAGAGGAACCCCCCATGTGTTTGAAAACAGAAAACTCAAATAGAACTAATGAACATTGAAAAGGGGCTATGTAAACTTTGTGCTACTCAAATGAAGTTCAAGTATTACTTCAGAGCTGTTTAAAGATCACTGAACTTGTACAATATTCTGGTAATAAGAGTGCAGTTCACATTTGTGTTTCTGAACAAATAAACCACAACCGGCTAGAACACAACCTGTGCAATTAGAATCTTCGTCTGAGTTAAAGACACATGCTACATATTTCAACATGTTCAAAGTTAATTCAAACCACATATTTAACAGCTTGGTAATATTAACGACAAAGGTGAAAGGGTCTAGCATTTGTTTCTTTGAAGCACACCATTAAAGTTTGTATAACACCCTTTATACTACAAAATCTTTTAGTCAACAGCTAATTAGGAGACAAAAATGCACTGTTCATCAACTTGAATACAAAAGGAGACAAAACTATCCTTTTCCCCCAAGCCATGGTGGGAAATATTGCTGACCTCGTCCTTTGAAGCCTGCAGGATGGTTATTTCTTCAGTATAACATTATTACACTGGTAAGAAAATCTGTATAACATCTGCATATATCAAGGATTTTAAAAAATCTGATATGATTTTAGAGTCCGCATGACCAGTCACGTGACCTGCTCAAGATTGATTAGCACCGTTAAATACATAAACACACATATGTATGCATGTATGTGTAAGTATATGTATATACACACACACATATATGTATGTAATAGATCTTTTCTTTAAAAAAACTTCTAACCATAAGCTCCACCCAGGACGAGGAGCCTGTTGAACTGATGAGATGATGGATAAGGATGGATTTCACAACAATATTGGTCTATTCTGTCTCTCTTCAGTTTGTTTCATTTACCTTTTTTTTTTTTTTTTTTTTTTTTTTGCAGCAGACAATATCATTCAGCATTGTGCTCAGTTTCCCCATAAGGGTAAGAAAAAGTTTCCATCAGGTAGCCATTTGTTTTTATAATGAAAGACTAATCTACTCCAAAATGCTTCCAAGTAGAAATAACAGGATTGCAAATCTCTTTATAAAGCCCAACAGCTAACTTTTTCTGACTAATCTCTAGGAGTTCAAGGGAACAGGCTACCAAGATTGCATTTCAGGCTAACAATTGGCTTCTTAGTTTAAGGCATCACAACTGAAAATGGTTATTTCAACAATGGATGTTGTGGATGAAGGAATACCAACAAATTTCTAAGATCTCTCATCAAAAACTAAAGCAATGTGCTTTGCCTTAGTGGCAAGCAGAAGGAGTTAAGCCAATTACGCACTTTTCACAAATTAGAAAAGAATTTTAGAATTCTGAACTAGCAGTCCATTACTTGTCACAAGCAAGTACATGTATAAGGTATATCCTTTTTGATATTCAGTGACATTTCTCATAGTTCTAGAATATATATTCTGCAGCATACTTTTATTCATCACTTGATATATTGATTTCCTGTTTGAAAAAATTATATATTTTCCCAAATATATATACTTATATATATCTATATATACTACCATCAAATGAAGGTCATCTTTCTCCAGAATCATGTGTGATTTTTCCTGGGGAATCTATGTATGTACCTCCTATCGACATCAGTAAGTTCTCTTTGTACGAATCAGGAAGACTGGCCCTGCAAATGAGCCAGACTCTAATTGAAGCCTATCTGAATGCCAACTCCATCTTTATAGGTATAACATAGCATCTTAGCAACATAATAAACGTGTTTCTATCAAAAGTATGTAGTGCAGAAAGAGATTCAAGCTATTTTCTAGTATCTTCAGTATTGTCTCCATGACAGACAAACCATATGTAAAATGGCATGTATGAACTTTTCTTTCACTAGATTATCTTTACCATATCTTTAGATGGTAGTTAAATTGTCTCTAGCCAATCATGACTTACTGAAACCTAAAACTAACAAATTTAAATTAATACAAAATAGACAAATGTCTTTTTGGTTATTTGCTCAAAATAAATTTTTTTCAGCTAAAAAAATACTCCAGAGTAAGGAATTTGTCTAATCTGTTGTTTCACATATAGAAACAATAAAATTTTACAAGAATATTTCTCTAAATTGCCTTTTTTCTAACCCCTCTTGATTCCACTTAATTATAGTCTTCTCAAAGGCACTAAATTCTGCATCTGTTCTCTTCCTAATATTTGCTGCTCTTCAAAATGATTTCTGTAGCCTATTTGAAAGATAGTTTGTACTTTCTTAAAACAGTGTTTTAGTTTGTAAATTGGTTCTGTAAAAAGTGATGAGGCAGTCTCTCCTAACTACAATAACCAGCAAAGTAGGCATAAATGGTTTGTCTTTGTGACAAGCCCTATCATGGACCCTTGAATGTTCACTATTAGAACGAAAGTTCATCTATTTTAACCATGGGAAAAACATATTCTAGTGAAGACTCAAATACTAAGCTCTCATAGCAAAGTGAAATTTAGGCAAATCCAACGGTAATATATGAATACCTGAATTTGACATGAATTACTCCCAAACTCAGCTATCAGAAATAACTATCTTACTGAGAAAAATTAAAGACAAGTCTAAATAAAACCCTCAAAAACTGCACAATTTCTTCCATCCACAGTTGAAGGCAGAGAGGAACAAAGGAAGGAAAGAAAAGAAGAAGAGGCAGAAAGGAACACAGGAAGAACAGAAACCTGACTAAGAAAGCAAAGCAAAATTCTATCTCATATTGTAAGAAAAGAAAACCCAAAAATTTATATATGCTGCAAAAAAATCAAAGATCTAAAATAATAAAACAGGATCTTCTTAACAAATGCCACTTTCCTACCCGTTACCATGATGATCTTAATTGACGATGTCGAAGCTTCACCATGGCAACGGAAACTATCATCATAAAATGGTACAGTAAAAGAGATAGCTAGACCAAGAAGGTGTAGGGTCTCCTGGGAAGAGGTCTGCAGAGAGGCCCAGTGACTGGTTGTGCGGCTCAGTGTCAGGAATAATGGTTGTATGGTGGAAGGGGATGCCCAATGCCATTTTGGAAGTGATGATGCTGGCGATGAGCAAGGTATTCAGCATAACTCAAGGTCATCTTTTCACTACGGTACCTGAAAGAAAGTCAGGGAAGAGAAAAGTTAACATGAAGTGATATGCCATTGTCAGAGATAGGAAGGGCCTAAGATAATTTTATAGGTCAGGAAATGGAGGCCTAGAGAGAACAAGTGACTTGCACAAGGACATGTGGCTAGAAAGTGAAGCTGATTTCAGAACACAGGTATTCAAAGTCTGAGTCTAATGCTCTTTCCACTCTACTCCTCTTTGTTTAAATTTTTCTAGAAACTTTATTGTCCCATGAGCCCTGGCTTGCTAACAGGAAGGAACAAGGAAAGGCCAACCTTTTACTATTATATATACATTGCATTCATTTGATGGTTTTCCTTCAGAGATCTTCCATCTCTCCTTCTTTTGCCATTTCTTTCTCTGTCTATACATCTACTTAGGTGTTGTCATTAACTGACAATATTTCCTAATGCTGGTACCAGAACCCTCTCTTCCCCATATCTAGCTTCTACAAAATGTCATATGTGGTTTTTGCCTTCAATCTCTTTCTTCCATTACTCTGCAGCTCAGTGCTCCCTGGATTCTCTTCCATGGAAACAACTGTCTGAAAGTTATCCTTGATTCTATTTGACCTTTCCAATGTGATACCCCTCATACTCTTTCTGAAGCTCTCTAGTCCCATCTGCAGAGAGGCCCAGTGACTCCACATGCCTCTGCTTCTCCCTCTGTTCTTATCTATGAGTGTTCCTCCTACCCATATCTTGTAGGATTTTCTATTTATATCCTTAGTTCTTTTGACTCTATACTTTGAACCTCTCAGTGAACCCAATTCTTATAGCTTCATCCATGACCTTTTGTGCAGCTGATCTTAAAGCATTATCTCTAGTCATCAGCACTATACATGTACATTTTTAGTGACTTTCTAGATGTTTCTGGATAGATATCCAAGGAAGTACTTCAAATCTAGAAGTGACACATAAAACTTAACTCTTCCTATGGTCCCTATCTTGCTTCAAGGGATGATTGTGGTCCCTTTTATGTACATTAAAGCCTTGACTTCTTTGCTTCAAAATGGTGACTATATCCTTTCATTTCTTGCATAATATTTTCATATCTGTCCCTTTCTTCTCATCCACCTGCCACTCTAGTTAAAGGGCCCCACTGAACTTCTATAGATTTTAGCAGTACTTCAATTTTCCTGTTTCCAATTTCAATCTTACACTTCTCCAAGGCCATCTGTTTGAAACCCTACAAGGGCTACTAATTGCCTATAGAATCAGGTCCAACTTCCTAGTCTAGAATGTTAGACCCTCCACTGTCTGACTTGAATTTACTTTCTGGGCCCTATTTCCCCCCTAATGACTACCTTCTCTATGTGTGTCACTGAAAGACCAGCCAAATCCAACTTTCACATTCCTCAGTACTTTGCACTTTGCCACCTAGAATGCCTTGATTTACAAAGTCTTTGAGGAATCCCTTTCCTCCCTTATTTTCTACCTGTCAAATATTCTACCCATTCCTCAAAGCCATCCCTAAATCTACCTCCTCTTTGAAACCTTCTGTTCCCTCCCCATCCCTTCTTGGAATTCCTCTTTCTTTACTTTATGATCTTACATCATCCAACATATTCTGCTTTATAATAGTAATTATTTTTGTACATGCCTTTCTATTCTCAATTGTGAATGTAGGGAGAGCAGAGATGGAGGCATTTTCAAATTTGTGACTGCTTAGAGCTGAGAATAGTCCATTTTTAGACTACAGGCATTCAATGCAATTCTCTGGCATTAAAATAAATGGAAACAGCAACCCATTTTCCTAAAATGTTTGATATTTTCCTCTTAAAATAAGTATCCCTATTATTCCATGCCGAAATTTATGTAGCATTCAAGTTTAGCTCAATTGTGTTTTTCAACAAGCCTTCATGGTAGACTTTTATCACTGCCAAAATGCTAAGGTTAAATTCAAATTTGAAGACTGCTTATCAGAATCCTGGGGTTCTGCTAGGCAATGTCAAAAGCTAGCCAATAGCTAATTCTGGCACTTTCTCCAATAACGTAATCTAAAGTCTTAGAGGGCTTACTCATACACAGCCAGAGTAATCACAGAGAGCTAAAGTGGGAAGGATGGGCTCATACATCACATAGGCTCTACTGCCAAGCCGAGTTCCATTGTATTCACCCTCAGTATAGCCCTGCCATTCATTTCCACTGTTTCAGAAAAGAGAAGCAAGGGTAAGTTAGAGAGACCAAGGAAATAAAAAGGTTATAGTCATATGCATCGAAATGTACTGGTTAGCCTTGTGCTAGAAAATGCCTTCTGTACCTGGTCAGTTTTATGGTTTTCCTGAATTCATTAGTAATCGGAGCTTTGTATCCTCCTTTCCTCAGTAAGGAGTCTATGGTCTGAATATGGTCCCATCCTGTGAAGAGTTGACCAGATAAAATATTGGTTAAGCACATGTAATAAGCACCTTTGGTTAAATACAAAATGACTTTGTTGATGTCAGCTATCACTGTCTCCAAATGCCATCAACAGCTCTGGTTCTAAAAACAATCATACAAAAGAGCTAAGATTGCAACCTATACAAAGGCAGGTTCATCACCACACACCTTAAATTTTAGCTGTGCACATGTCTAACAACATTGGCTTCCTTATCTCAACTATATTCGAAGGTACGTAGTCTAAGGGACTGGGAGAATCTGCTCAGTTAGTCTGTAACAAACCACATCCATTGTATTCTCCAACAGTGAAATCTTCAAAAGAGAGGGAAAAGCCCACACATTGTGCCAACTCAGTAGTGTATAAGATTCTCACACTACCTCATGGTAACTGTTGGTGTGAATGGTATCTCTATAATAAATTATATTTGTGGGCGGTATCCAAAGATATGTTTTTTTGTTCTGACATGGATGATATCCTAATATCTCAGGCCCCCCTTCTCTCTTATGTATGCTTTATAGAGTCAGTAATACTAGAGGATGAGGATTTTTCTTTAGATAATGGACTTAAAGACTAACTTTTCTCATTTGGAGGTTTAATTTCATTATATTTTGCTGTTAGATATATTTGTATTATCAAACATGATCAAACCAAATTTAAATGCTTTGTGATTAAAAGAAAAGCTCAACAAGGTAAAAATAGAGATTAATTTCAAATTATATGAGATCAGAATTTAGTAGTGGCTAGAAAAAAACAAATTACTACAAAGTTATGTTGTGTTGCAGTATTGGTTCATAAAGATACATTCATGGAATAAGAAAATGTTTGTTGGTTAGGAAGTGCAGACCCAGCATATAAAACATGAATGCTTTGTGTATTCATGAGGCTTCCAATCTTAAGGGGAAACATACCATCTTAATATTAGCAGGATGAGAAATGGCAACCACCTAATAATGAAACATTAGATTCTGGCAGTGATAATGAACTATGTGGCTGTCAAACTAAAGGCTTGTTTATTCCACAAGGCTATTTACAGTGCAACGGAATACAGGAGAAGAGTCTTTCAAATTAGAAGCAAATTATTGCCTAAATCAAAACCAACTTTTACAAATCTTTGCTGTTTTAAAAAGTATATATTTTGAGTTTATGCTGTCAAACTTCAGTACAGAGATTTGGCTTGAGTGTAATTCACTGATTTGATACAGACATTGCAGTGGCAGTGATAGAAGAGTTGCTTCTTATAATTTGACACTGATCAATTATTGGGCATAACTGCAAGGTCAGAAATCACATTTCAATTTGTATATTTGTTTAAATTCTTCACCAGATTATATGAAATAAAGTACAATAATGACCTTGCTCCTTTGCAACCTCCGGTAGGTAGGTGGCGGTGCGTTTTGATCCTTTTTCATTGATGAATTCTATTCTAATGCCATGTACACCCACCTGAAAGAAATCGGCAGTTTTATTAGTACAGTCTTCTTCATAGAAACAGAAAGAAATGGTTATAATTTAATTTTCAAGAGAATGCTGTTCTTTCTCTCCCCCATGTTTTAAGAAGTGCATATCAATTCTCTTTCCATAATTTTGACTTTGGATTTGAAGGCTATTATGATAGCCATGGAGACTGAAAATATTGATTTGCAAATGTAGCGGGCTATGCTATTCTGTTTGGAAAACTGGAACAACCATTCTGGGGATGTAGAGTAAGATAGTTGATGGCAATAATCCTGCTGCCACTCTCAAATTGTGACTCATGACACTAAGGAACTAGATAAAGGGAATTGACTTTAAAGAGATGACAAACAATCACCCTATTTTGCAGGTACACTCACCATTTCAGGTTACATTCCCAAACTTCCTGTGTTGACCCCCCTCCCAAATGGTCTATTCTTTCTTTGTGTGTGTGTGTGTGTGTGTGTGTGTGTGTGTGGTGCTGGGGATTGAACCCAAAGTATTGCACATGTTAGGCAAGTGCTCTACCACTGTACTATATTTTCCAACCCTTTTTTTAAATTTATTTTTTAGTTGTAATTGGACACAATACCTTTATTTTTTTTTTTTATATGATGCTTAGGATCAAACCCAGGGCCTCACATGTGCTAGGCGAGCACTCTACTACCGAGCCACAACCCCAGCCCCCACCAACCCTTTTTTTTTCTTTTATTTAACTTTGAGACAGGGTCTCGATAAGTTGACAAGGCTGGCTTTGAACTTGTGATCCTTCTGCCTTAGCCTGACAAGTAGCTGGGACTATAGGCATGTGCCACCATGCACTGCTGTCCAGTCTTTTTGAGACCTTGATTTATATGTAGGCAAAAAAATACTGTCAGATAAGACTGAAAACAATATGAAAACCAGACATACATCACACATCACATCACCTTTCCATTTAAGAGCAATTAAGATTTCAACTAATTCATGAGCAAGGTATTTTTGCCCAGCATTTCTATTTTCCTAGCCTAACTTTTTAAAATGTCAAACAAACTTTTGGTGATGACCTAAAAAAGATCATTTTCTAAGTAAGAGTGGGCTCTTTCTTGCTAATGTTTTTAAAAACTAATATGCTTGTCCTTTGATTAGCATACAATCAAAAGGAAACTGGCCTTTCCCCTCATATCTTTTTTTTTCTTTTTTTTATTGGTTGTTCAAAACATTACAAAGCTCATGACATATCATATTTCATACATTAGATTCAAGTGGGTTATGAACTCCCATTTTTACCCCAAATACAGACTGCAGAATCACATCGGTTACACATCCACATTTTTACATAATGCCATATTAGTAACTGTTGTATTCTGCTACCTTTCCTATCCTCTACTATCCCCCCTCCCCTCCCCTCCCATCTTCCCTCCCTACCCCATCTACTGTAATTCATTTCTCTCCTTGTTTTTTTTCCCTTTTCCCTCACAACCTCTTATATGTAATTTTGTGTAACAATGAGGGTCTCCTTCCATTTCCATGCAATTTCCCTTTCCCTCCCACCTCATGTCTCTGTTTAATGTTAATCTTTTCCTCCTGCTCGTCCTCCCTGCTCTGTTCTTAGTTGCTCTCATTATATCAAAGAAGACATTTGGCATTTGTTTTTTAGGGATTGGCTAGCTTCACTTAGCATAATCTGCTCTAATGCCATCCATTTCCCTGCAAATTCCATGATTTTGTCATTTTTTAGTGCAGAGTAATGGGACTTACTTAAACTAAAAAGTTTTTTTCTCAGCAAGAGAAACAATAAGAGAGGTAAATAGGGAGCCTACATCATGGGAACAAATTTTTACTCCTCACACTTCAGATAGAGCCCTAATATCCAGAGTATACAAAGAACTCAAAAAATTAAACAATAAGATAACAAATAACGCAATCAACAAATGGGCCAAGGACCTGAACAGACACTTCTCAGAGGAGGACATACAATCAATCAAACAAGTACATGAAAAAATGCTCACCATCCCTAGCAGTCAGAGAAATGCAAATCAAAACCACCCTAAGATACCATCTCACTCCAGTAAGATTGGCAGCCATTAGGAAGTCAAACAACAACAAGTGCTGGCGAGGATGTGGGGAAAAGGGTACTCTTTCTTGTACATTGCTGGTGGGACTGCAAATTGGTGCGGCCAATTTGGAAAGCAGTATGGAGATTTCTTGGAAAGCTGGGAATGGAACCACCATTTGACCCAGCTATTGCCCTTCTCGGACTATTCCCTGAAGTCCTTAAAAGAGCGTACTACAGGGATACTGCCACATCAATGTTCATAGCAGCACAATTCACAATAGCTAGACTGTGGAACCAACCCAGATGCCCTTCAATAGATGAATGGATAAAAAAATGTGGCATTTATACACAATGGAGTATTACTCCCCTCATATCTTACATAGAATAGTGTACACTAACGAAAGATCAAAGTTCTTAATCTCTTTGTGAACACTGACAATAAAAATAAAATTTCAAAAGCATAAACACCCCACTACATTCTCTCAATTCTGTGGATGAGTCAAATCAATGTTTACTAAGTGAAGTATCCAAGGTAATGGGGGGTATAGATGTAAAACCAGGTGAACATTATCCCCCAGGATGGTGGCTTCTTGTCAGAGCAGGTGAGTTAAGTCATAGACCTTAATCTTTCCATCTGTATGGAAGTAAAGCTTTAGAAGAAGAAAAGGGGTGAATGAAAACCTTTTTTCCTGCTTCTGCCCCTAGCATGAAATTTTCTAATTTTTCAGGGAATAAAAACTCCTCTGGGAAATCCATTTCGTTTGATCCTCAGATCTCCAAACATCTATCCATTACAGCCTGTCAGATCTTCTCAGGAGTTTTTTTTTTTTTTTTTTTTTTTTTAAATTAAAGCATATCTCTGTGGCTATTTCTTCTATCTATTTAATATCAACATTCTTATGAATCTCCTTCTACTAAAAATGCAACCAGGGCAGCTGTTTAAAAACTAACACAATAAGACCTCCCATACCCTGTGGGAAATGACTGTGGACAGCTGAGAAGAAATATGAGTGCTTAACTATCAGGCATTTCTAGGATAAAGGACATCTAGTAATCTCTCTGGTGCCTGACATAGCACAGAGGCAATGACAAATTTGCAACATTTTCTGTATACTGACTTCCTGTTTAGTGACTCTGAATTTTTTCCTTCAACAATATTAGATTCTTCATAATTTGTTTTTTATAAAAAATATACAGCCTAAGTAATTTATGCCCCTTCATTCACTGAAGTGAATCTTGAATCTTTCATTCTATTTATCAAAAATCTGTCATGCTGAAATTGAAAAGAATTTTGGTGTTTATTAAGATGTCTAGTCAAAATTGTGAGAGGAAGAATGTCTATCTGTGAGATGAGAGTGCCACACAAATTATTAATATTTAATTGGCATGATGGGGGAAGAGGCTGAAAAGTTTATCAGAATTTCAAGAGGTTTTATGCTTCAGCAAGTAGACTTTGGAAAAAGAACAACTCGCCAGGTGATTTTTATCCTACTTGAATGAGGTGACCTCTAATAACCATCATAGCTCTGACAAACTGTGGCTATGTACTGGAGTGGGAGAAGTGATTTAGGCAAATGGGGGTGTAATTCGGACGCATAAATCCTTTCTTCTTAGGAGTACAACCTGTGTTCTTCAACAAAAATGTCAGAGATTTTAAAGCCTAGTAATTTAACAATTAAAAGAGTAATTTAAAAAAATAATTTTAAACAATTTACTAATTGTATGGTATGTTCATTATATCTCAATAAAGGTGTTTATATGAGATTAACTCAAAGTCTAAGGACATGTTGAGCAAAATGAAAATTATTCATGAATAAGAGTGCTCTATTTGTATTTTAAGAAGGCTCCACCATCAACTTTGATTTTAAAAAGTCAAAATTATCACATTTTTCTTTCTTGCAACATTTATAACTTTTAATTTTTGATGGATTCCTATGATTCTGAACAATTGAAAGCCCTATAAATTGAAATGAAAATATAGTGATTTTAAAGTGAATCCTTTGTGAAAAATAACTTTTTCATAGGTCAAATATATACTCCACAAAGCCAAAACCAGAGTGACTCATTTTTTTTCAACCATCAGAATCAAGAGAATAACATTCTTAACAGGATCAAAAGCATAATAACTTTTGTCACTTGTTGAGCAATAACATTTTCTTCACTCTCAGAATCGCAGATGGTGCCAAATAGTCACACTGTACAATCAAAACAGGAGAGTGGAAAATGGCCTGCTGTGGAGAATGACTGATTCTGGCCACCTTGTGGAAATTACTGGCTTTTCAAATTAAGTCATCTCCACCAAAATAAGCATCAGAAATAGATTCCATATTGTTTCAGGGAGGCACGTGTTATAGCAGCAACTCCAAAATGTAATCTTCATGCCTAGTAATTGAATCCCCCCTTTTATAGATTGGAGAATCCTAAAGTCCAGCAGCATCCCAGGAAGCAAAGGCTATAGTTGGCATTTATCAGCTGGATAAGAGATCAACTGACTAGGGAAGTGGGATTCCCAGCTGCATACCTGCTATAAAATGCTATCACAGTAACTTTCTAAGAATGAAGAAGGAAGGCAGCATTTGGGAAAACTATGTCACGAAACAAACCCTTAACTAATCCTCCATTGTGCAAAGTAGAGGCAGGTGAGCAACAAATGGCTACTTGCAAATCTAGCCTTATGGGAGTCTGTAGATCACTTTCAAAATTATTAGAAAGTCTTAAGAAAAAATGCTTTCAAGGTCCATCAGCTGTGATAATATTCTTTTAATCAAGACTGTACTTTTGCTAAGCAAAGCTATAAAACAATTCTAATGGTAGTAAATTAAATGTAGGACTTATAGATAAGAGGATATGGAATTAAATAGAGCTGTATCTGTGTGTGCTGAGAGAACATTAAGACCAGTTCAACAGAGTCCTATTTCATGCTAAAAACAAGGCCATATTTATTCTGAACCAT